AACCTGATCCCCTAATATGACACAGTTACTGGGAGACAAAATGTCATCAGTTTAATTGCATTTTAACACAGAGGATATTTGTCTTGACAGGGGAAAATACAAACCCCAGAAGGAATTTTTGTCTTAATCATGAAAACTTTATAACAAAACTATCATAGACAGAGCTTATTAACAACAAAAACCTATTTATCACAGTTCTGGCAGTTGGAAATTCCAAGGTCAAGAGGTCAGGAAAATTGGTGTCTTGTGAGATCTTACTTTCTGGTTCAGAGACTGTAATCTTCTCCTTTTGTTCTTACATGGATGAAAGATCATGAAAGTTCTGTAGGATCTCTTTTATAAAGTTATTAATCACATTCATTTAGCTCTACCCTCAGGGTATAATCACCTCCAAATGTGCCCCTTCGCTATACCATCATACTGGGGGTTAGGATCCCAACATATGAATTTGGAGGGGGACACAGTCAGTCTAGAATATCTACCTACAGTGCTCTGTTTGGATCACCATTCAAAGACTTACGGATACCGTGTTCATTCCTGTAGTTTCTCATACAATATTGCCACTGATTAGATTGCTTATAATAAGACAAAGGAAATGAGACAATATTACTTCAGGATTCTCTGGTCTTACTCAGCACCTCATTATCCAGAAATAAATGGCTTGATAGAATGATGTTATAGCTTGGACCCTTCAACAGATTTTTTTAAAGTCTTTTAGGATTTTCTATAGGTAATATCATGTTATGTTAAAAAAGAGTCAGTTTACTTATTCCTTTCTGATTTGGATTTTTTTATGAGTTTTGCTTTCCTAATTGCTCTAATTGGTAGTTTCAGTTTTATGTTGAATAAAAATTAGCTTGGGCATCCTTGTCTTGTTCTTGATTTTATAGGAAAAGCTTTCAACATTTTACTATTGAAAAAGATGTTAACTGGGAGCTTGTACCATATCACCTTTATTATACTGAGATATGGTCCTTCCCTGGCTGTTCCCCTTTTGCTAGGTTCTTACTGCTAAGGCTGTTTTTTTTTTTTTTGAATGAATCAATTTTTAATTGAGGTAATATTTGGATGCTCCCATCAGATATTGCATCATATAACCCACCTGCATTGTCCACTGTGCTTCCTTCCCTCTTTGTTCTTACCCCTCCAACCTCTGGATGCTTCAGTTTTGTAGTCAGCTTTCAAAAGTTAACCTTTAAGCTTGTCTTTATCTGACGCTTAGTTCAGTTACCCTGTATTACACATATTAGTGATACCATCTGATATTTATCTTTCTTCTTCTGGCTTATTACACTTAATATCATCACTTTTAACTTTATCCATGTTGCCACAAATGGCATGAATTTATCTTTTGACTGCCGAGTAATAGTCCATTGTGTAAATATACCCCATATTCTTGATTCACTCATCTATTTTGGGGACAATTAGGTTGTTTTCATAATTTGGTAATAGTAAATAGTGCTGCAAAAAACTCGGGAGTGCGAGTTTCCTTTTGAAGTAATATTTTGAAATTTTTGGTAGATGGCCTAGGAGCAGAATTGCTGGGTCATATGGCAGATTCATTTTTAACATTTGAGACTCCTCCATAGTGCTTTCCATAGGACTAGACCAGTCTGAATTCCTATCTACAGAGGGTTTCTTTTCTCCGCATCCTCACCAGCACTTGTTTCTGCAATTTTTGATTTGGGCCATTCTCACATGTGTGGTCTTGATTTGCATTTCCCTGATGATAGGTGATGATGAAACTTTTTTTCATGTGCCTTTTTGTAGTCTTTGTCTTTTTTGAAGAAGTGTCTATTTTTTTTTTAACAAGATTTTTTTTTTTAAACAATATATTTTTTTTTTTAAACAAGATTCCCTTATAGGTTTTTTTTAAAGATTTATTTATATATACAAGAACCGGGGTACAGGCCAGAGGCACAGGAGGGTGAGAGGATTCACCAGAGACAGAGTGGGGAGCAGAACAGGCAGAAAGACTGAAATACACTGCAGGGGAGCAGTGGGCAAGACAGGAGTGGTCTGCTGCACCATGTGGTTATCTCTCTGGCCAGCCGGGATCAAACTGGTGCTGCAGAGGCTGCGGACAGCTTCACAGTGCAGCGCTTAACCACCTGCACCACCAGGGAGACCCTATTTCTTCTATTTTTTGATAGGGTTGTTTTGTTCTTGTTGAGTTATATGAGTTCTTTATAGATCTTAGGTTCCTTGTCAGATGTATGAAGTGTAGACATTGTGTCCCATTCAGTACAGTGTCTTCATTTTAATTATGGTTTCTTGCACTGTGCAGAAGCTTTTTAGTTTGATACAGTTTGAGTTGTTTATGTTCTCTTTTGTTTTCCTTACTATTGGGATGAATCCTTAAAGACATCACTGAAGCTTATGTCATAAAATGCTTTGCCTATCTTTTCTTCAATGGATTTTATGGTTTCAGGCCTTACAACTTTATCTTTTACCATTTTGAATTGATTTTTGTGTATGGTGTAAGATATATCTTCTTATACACACGTTGTTGAGAGCTTTTATCAGGAGTCAATGACAATTTTAGTCAAGTGCTTCTTTTTTTTTTTTTGACTTTACATGTTTGAGAACGTTTTATTCTATCCTCATTCTTTAATTAATTTATTCTAAGATATTTCAAAATCATTAATATTTTGAAAACATTTTTGTTGCCTTCTATCTTCCATTGCTCTTTTTTTTATTTTATTTTATATATTTTATATCATTTTTTATTTTTGCACAATGTATGCATTTTCCTCTTGGTTCTTAATTGACTTGATCATATGATTTTATTCTTCATGTGTTAATGTAGCATATAACATTGCTTGATTTGCAGATGTTGAGCCACCCTCACATTCCTAGACTATATCCCACTGGATTGTGGTGTATGATTCTGTTACTATATTGCTGAATTAGGTTTGCTAATATTTTCTTGAGGATTTTTGTATTTATGTTCATCAGGGATACTAGCCTGTTATTTTCTTTTTTTGTAGTGGTTTTGTCTGGTTTTGGTTATACAATTAAATTTAACTTTTAATTTTTATATATAGATTATAAGGCATAGATCAAGCTTCTTTTCCTTCAAAGGGTGACATAATTGTACTAATGACATTTATTATTCCATGGCTTTTAAAAATTAATTTATTTTTATTGATATTAAACAACTTCTCTGTAATAAATTTCCTGTTTACATAGTTTTTGGTCAATACAATGTTTTAATAAAAATAACTAAAACTTTATCATATAATTTGCTATTTGTTTGTGGAATTCTCCACTCATTATTCTTCATCAAAAGTGAAGCTATTTTTGCAGTTACTCTTGATAGATTTAATAGATAGATTTCAAGTTATACTCAAAACATTTTGATACTTGAATTTATGTGTTAAATTGAGAATAATTTTTATCTTTCCATACACTGTGGTATGTTGCTTTATTTTCTCTGTTCTTTCCTTAATGATCTGCAAGAGTTTTATGAATTTGTGCAATTGAAGATATTTTATTAAATTATTCCTAGTAATTTCACATATTCTGTTACTATTATGTGGAACATCCTTATATTAAAATATTTTCTCTTAAATCATTTCTAGTAGAGGGAAAGTCTACTAATTTCTAAGTTTTTCTTATATTTATAAAGCACACTTAAATTATTTGCTTGTACTTTGTAGGGTTTTTTAAATTATTTTCCTCGAACTTCTAGGTGCTCAATTATCTGCACATATGTAAATATCATGTTATAAAGAGTGTAATGAAAAGAACATATAGCTAGGCTCCAAAACAAATAAAGAAAAAAAATCTGACTATTGTAAGTAATGAAGAAACACATAACCATAGTAATAATCCAGAGAAGAAACTCACTGGACATAGCATATTGATATATATGTGTCTACAGGATATGTCTATAGAAATCAAGGTTACACTCCCATATCATCGGAAATTGAAAATATGTAACAAAATTGAAATAATGAAATAACATCAAAGGAGTTGTACCATTGATGAATAAAACTGGAAATATGCTTCATGTTCTATTAAAGCACAGACCTATAAATCAGCTACTTATCAGGTCTCTGCTGGCAACACACTAACCATGAGAAATTAGCACTCTTTAAAAAAGTGCACTTCCAGGAGATTCCAGGCATTTCCCACAATGGCTAGATGGCCGAGGTATTAAGTGTGAGGAAATGATAGCAATGCTGGCTGTCTAGTAATCAACTTCCACAAATCTCCTACCTAAACAATGCAAACTAACTTCAAAGCTCTAAAAATTCCCCACAAAATCATGGCTTTAGGCATTTTGAAGGCAAAGAAATGCTGATCTGTAAAATAATTGTGAGTAAAAAGAAAACAAATCGCAGCAGATGATCCTTCATGTTGCTACCCAACCCTTTCCACTGAAGGCTTTTTGGCTTGCAAAAGCATGCCAAAAAAAAAAAAAAAAGGAAGTTAGAAGACAGAGCTTAACTAAGGATCCTAAAGCTGGTTAGGAATGATCACTGGAAGGGTAATTCATGATCAATCTGAGAGTTCAAAGAAGAGACTATAAGAAAGCTCTTAATGTATTTGTGATTTAAAGGGTTAGTTATAAGATAACAGATTATGCAATTTAGAGTGCCAAGCTTGTCTTAAAGAACTAGGTGCATGACTTAAAGGGGCAGGGATGATCTTAAAGGAAAAATGAGATTATGAGGAATGGTTTCCCAAGCATATAATTTCTGTTGGAGAAAACAGAATTAAAGGAACAAAGAATTACTCATTGCCATTTAAGTCAAAATGGGAATAAAAGGAAAAGAAAAGGGAAAAAATTAAGGAAACTCTCAGTAAAAAGAGAATACATAATTGAAGTAACAACCACTCATTCTCAGGAAAATAAATAGGAAAAAAATAACAGAATTTACTATTTTTATTTCACTGTCTCTGATTGGCTTTGTTTGTAATAAAATATGCTAATTATTTATAAATATATAAATAAAAATTTGTATTTGTGCTTTTATTTTTCTCTATTAAAGCAGTGGAAACAACAGTAGTACTCAACACTGGCATCAGTCTTGGTGGCTTAACTATATGATTGTCTCAGTTACTTCATGGTCTACATTGATACCATTGTTGTGCTTTCCACCCAGTATACGAGGTGACTATAAAAATGTAATTCATTAAAAGATAGTAGTAGATTTTTTTTGCACCCTTATTCCCATCTTTCATTCTCAGACTAGGAATGAACTACATTTCTTTCTATCATGGAAATAAGTGTCATGTTCTAGTATTATTTGAACAAGTTAAGCCACATTCAGCCAAATATTATTTAATTTTTGTATCAAACTTTCATTAATACATATTTTTGTTGTCATTAGAAAAAAAATTCTTTATATAGACTTCATAAGTTTTCTTTAAAAAGCAAATTTACATATATTTGCCTACCATTATTTAATAAATATATTACCTCATATAATTGCTATAAGATGAAATAATAAACTGTTAAATGCTTTTGGAAACATTGAAAAATTCATATAACATTAGAAATATCAAGTACTATATCTGATTGGCATAAAATATTTTTAATAATATCAAAAAATTAGTCTTTTATATTTTAGGGTTGTACCATCAAATGCTGTAGTTGCACCCATATGTAATTTAATTATATTTAATTTAAATTAAATTAAGAATCCATATACCCAATCATGGGAGCTGGATTCAAGTAGTTAATAGTCACTTATATATGGTGACTACAATATTGGACAGTGCCTGTATGTAAAATTTTTCATTATCATAGAATGTTTATAGTACAGGATTGTTTTAGAAGAATGTGACTTTTACTTAATTAGATTAACTTTATTCAAAAATAACTCACTTGTTTATTAAATAATAAATAATGTTTACATATGAATTTTAGCTATTTAAACATAAGATTTGTTTATTTGTTAACATATAGGTACAGCAAAGATAAAAGCTGCCAAACTGAAAGAGCCTCAGCTTGACATACTTAAAGATCAGGAACTTGGAACTAGATTCAAGGATCTATTTGCTGCTGTTTGGGTGAAGTAAAATATTTTATATGAACAAGTAAATGTAGTTAACATGCACACTGATAGTTGATTTAAGAAAATAGTGATCATGTGTTCAATTTAAATCTTAATGAAACTTTGATGCCTTAATTGACCTATTTATTTTACAAATACAAAATAGGACCCATTTTACCTAAGTGATATTGCCAAGAACTTGGTTAGTGTCAGATATTTGTGCCAATTATTTTCCTTCTACTTTTTATAATTCCACTTTTATATTATTTTGTATTTACTTTTTCCCTGAAGAAATAATAAGACATTTAATTAGATGATTTACTAAGTACATGAGATCTTATTTATTTTGCTTAACTGACTTCAAAGAGATTTCTAGAATTTAAATATGCTCATAAACATCATATTTTATGGAAAAGAATCAATATCAAATGGAGAAGAGTTTTTGTTTTTCTGGGTGGGAAATAATGCCTACAACATAGGTATTAGTGGAACTAAAAAATGCAACTTGTATATATGATTCTATTTTCAATTTGTTTTATCTTCTATTCATGGTCTCATCTTTATGTTGCCTGCAAAATGTATTTTTCACATAGATATTTTTGTGAAGTAATTTTCCATATTACTTGCTAGAGTATTTTGTACTCTTTTAGTGGAAATTTGAAGACACTTCACAGTAGAAACAGCTGAATTTTTCTATTTCATGTTAGAATTTTATACCTATTTTTTCCATATTCTTGCCATTTGCTCTTTCCTGGAGAGATTAGATACATATAGTCTTTGTAGATGCTAATCTCATTACTTCAAATATTCTTCACTTTTTTTCCATTAGAAAAAGAAAACCTCCTTCTGAAGTCTTACATTTCAGGAAAATGAATTTCTCTGTCCTTAATACTTTCATAATATATCTGTTCTAAATATAATATATTCTAATGTAATATATACCATAGTGTATTATAATATATATAATTATAAATATGTAATAACATATCTACTTATTGGGTATGTAGTGCTTTTTATTATATAAATTTATTTCTACTTAAATTGAATAGAATGTCAAAGAAAATCAGAAATTTTGTTTACATGTTCTTATTCAAATATTAAAGTTTACTTTTTATCAAGTCATGAACCCATCTTATTTTTTTTAAATAATAAATTTTATTTTTATATTCCCCATACAATTGCAACCCCCCCATTCTACCCCAATCCCTCCCCTCCCACCCCCCACCCTCCAAAAAATGTCTCTGGTTCATAGTTTTTTGTTGATTTTGATTTTCACTTTCTTATAGTTTTTCATTTTTCTGGTCCCTTATTTAAGTTTTCTAGATTCCTGCTATGAGTGAGACCATCCGGTATTTTTCTTTTTCTTTTTGGCTTATTTCGCTGAGCATGATCCCTTCCAGCGCCATCCATGTTGCTGCAAATTGCATGTGTTTATCTTTTTTGAATGCTGAGTAATATTCCATGGTGTATATGTACCACATCTTCTTGATCTAGTCATCTATTTTTGGGCATTTGGGCTGTTTCCAAAGCTTAGCTATTGTAAATAGTACTGAACCCATCTTATTAATGGATTATACCTCACTGAGATTTTTTTATTTACTTTTAATTTTTATATTTACCAAAATACTTATATGTGTCGATTTTAAAAATACAGAAATAAATTAGTCTAACCTCTCTCATATTAACAAAAATAAGATACAATTATTAAAAATCATTTTTCAGATAATTTAAACATGAGTTCTTTAATAGGAGACTGTAGTGATGGTGCGTGGGTGCATTGGTGAAGGAAATTCTATGGGGACTAAACCTGAAGAGGGGGAAACAAACATTTAAAAATGAACAATGATGTAAAAAATATATTAAAAATTAAAAAACCATGAGTGCTTTAAATTACTTTTTGGTTACTGTCAGAGAGAAATAACAATCCAGTTCTAATATTTCTTGTTCAAAATGGAGTGCTTTAAACATTTTTGTTAGGATCCAAAATAATATAAGCTTGGGTAACAATTTTAGACTTCTAATTAATCCCCATCTCAGTAGCTAACTAGAAGATAGCTTAGTCCTTTTTAAAGTTTATCAGAAGATGGAACTTCCGAAGTGTCAGAGTGAGGACATTTTTTTAAAGATTTATTTATTTATGCATATAAGAACTGGGGTACAGGCCAGAGGTATGGAGGGTGAGAGGATTCACCAGAGACAGAGTGGGGAACAGAACAGGCAAACTGACTGAAGTGCACTGCCTAGGGGAGCAGCAGGCAAGTCAGGGGATGTCTGCTGTGCCATGTGGGTATCTCCATGGCTTGGGATCCAACTCATGCTGCAGTGGCTGTGAAAAGCTTCATAGGTTGCATCTTAACCCCTTGTGCCATCAGGGAGGCCGCAGAGTTAGGACAGTTGAAAAAAAATCAGCTACCAAAAACAGTGGCTGGAATTGGCAAAATTGTCAACAACCATTTCAAAACACTGGAAATTAGGATCATACTTTGAGAATCACTGATCTGGTTTATCAGAGACTTTTCTTAATTATAAAGGGACAACTCCAGAACAGGGTCTGCATATGTAATTGACTTGTGCAATATATTGAGTGCATGATAGGTGCCTGTCCTAGGAAGGAGGAAGTTTAGGAAAGCCATAAATAACCTTGTGATACCCGCTAACACACTGTCAAAAAAGTAACCAAGAACAAAGCATTAATCAAAAGTGAGTAGCCATGATAAAGTCATACTGGAGTTTATATAAACAATAATTTGAGGGTCCCTGCACCATTGTCAGAGGCCAAGGACCCCACAATCCCTCTAGAACTGAGACGAGAAAGGGAGGTCTCTACCATCAAGGTGAACTGTGGGTACCAGGAAAGTGCTGCCCCTACACCATTTTCAGAAGCCAGAGACCTCACCATACCCTCCTGGAACTGAGTAGAGAGTGGGAGGGCTCTCAAACAAAGGTGAGCAGGAAAGCACATGCCTGAGGAAGGCTGCTGGTGACCCTGTGCTCCCTTTTGGAATTGAGTAGAGAATGGGAGGGTTCCACCATCAAGGTGAACTGTGGGTCCCAAGAAAGTGTGGGCCTGCCCATGGGGTTGGGGGAAGCCAGGGACAACACGAGTCCCTTTTGGAACTGAGTAAGTAACAGAGGGAGGGGATCTTCAGGGACAGCGCCCATCAACAAATCCACAGTATCACTACCCTTGTGGAGTCTGGTGTACCAGTGCCAGACTTGATCTGGCCACCAGTTCCTGACACCCCAGAAGTAGCACCCCAAAGAGATGCCCATCAGTACCAGTTGCACAGTGGCCCACCACATAGAACAAATTAGAAAACAAACAATAGGGAGAAGGAAAAAATACTAATAACCAAGCAAGTTCTCAAGGAAAGGATACACCACAAAAAGAAAATCAGCCACCAGAACTCAACAACAATGACAATGGAAGAAATTCTCTGCCTGCCAGACAGAGAATTTAAAATTGCCAAGATTAAAAAAACATAATAATAAAAAGGAAAAGAGTAACATGAGAAATATAATTAATGATGACAAGAATGAAGCTGAGTCCTTAAAGAAGGAAATAAAGGAAACACAGAGATTAAAAAGTTAATGGAGGGGCTAAAGAACTTTGTGAAAACAAGAAAGACAGAATTAATGAAATGGAAGAATGAATGACTACTCTCAAAGATACAAAAAGAAAAAGAACCAAAAAGAAAAGGAAACAGAAGTACAAAGGAAAAAGAATGAAGAAACATTTTGAGAACCATCTGATACGATGAGGAAAGGAAATATAAGAGTTATAGGAATCCCAGTAGTGAAGAGAGAGACAAGAGAATGAGAAACTATTCAAGGAGATAATCAAAGAGAACTTCCAAAGCATGAAGAATGAGATGAAAATAAACATACAGGAAGCTAGAAGAACACCAAATTACTACAATGAAAGGAACACTACAGCAAGACACATACTAGTGAAGCTTCCAAGAGTGCAAGACAAGGAAAAAATAATGAAGTTGATGAGGGGAAAGAAACAGATAACATACAAAGGAAAACCAATCAGGCTGACATCAGACATCTACAAAGAAACACTATGGGCAAGAAGAGAATGGAGTGACATATTCAACAAACTGCAAGTCAACAAATGCCAACCAAAAATAGTTTACCCCACAAAGCTCTCCTTCCTCTATGAAGGAAAAATAAGGACTTCTCAGACAAACAGAATATCCAGAAATTCATTACTACTAAACCCCTACTCCAAAAAATAAATACTACCAGAAGTCCTGAAGCCAAAACCAACAGAAGAATGAATAAGAACAGAATAAGGCAAGGAATAAACTCACAAAAAGACAAACAAAATGGCAAATGCAGATGCCAACATATCAATATTAACCCTAAATGAACTAAACTCATCAATTGAAAGACATAGAGTAGCAGTCTGGATTAAAAAACAAAGTCCAACCTTCTGCTGTTTCCAGGAAACACATTTAACTACAAAATATAAACAAATACTGAAAGTAAAAGGTTGGAAAACAATCCTACAAACAAATGGACCAAAAAAGAAAGCAGCAAAAGCTATACTTTATATCAGATGAAAAAGACTTCACACTAAAAAAGGTAAAAAGAGACATAGATGGACACTACATTATGATCAAGGGGAAAATATATCAGGAAGATATAATGCTCATCAACATATATTCACCAAATGAAGGAGTACCAAAATATATTATGTCAATTATTATCAGCTTTGAAAACAGACATTAGAGAAAATACATATATAGAAGGAGACTTCAATTCTCCACTCTCACCAATGGACAGATCAATGAGACAAAAAATAAAGGACTCTAGAGCTCTAAATAAAGACCTAGACCTCATGGATTCAACAGACATCTATAGAACACTGCACCCCAAAAAATCTTAGTACATATTTTTCTCAAATATGCATGGATCATTCTCCAGAATCGATCACACACTGGGCCACAAGATAGACATCAACAGATACATTAAGATCAAAATCATTCCAACTATTTTCTCTGATCA